GCGGAAGCGCCCCGCGTCCCCCCGCTTCTCCCCGATGCACCAGGACGAGCGCGGATGTCGCTCCCCGGCCCGGAGCCCCCGCCCTGCCCTGCCCTGCCAGCCGCCGCCGGGCCGCGGCCTCTCCGCGCAGCAGGGGGCGCCGCGCCCCTCCCCGCTTGGCCGCCTGACCGGGCCTTGGCCGGCTGTGGGGCAACCCGCGGACCCTCCCCTCCCCTCCCCCCCGGCGGCCCCTCCCCACCCGCCTTGAGGCGCTCGCTCCGGGGGCCCTGCTGTCGAAATTGGGGAACGGGAGCATCTTCTGGATGTGGGCAGCCAGAAGATAAAGGGCAGCTTCGAGTTTCTTCACCTGCCCTTTCAATTTGTTGGTATTGTGAATTTTGATGAATCAGATATAAAGAAGTGAAAATAAGAACCCATAAAAACCTAAGGTTTGAATATATTCATTTCAATAGCTAAATGCCACGCGTACCCCATATATGTTACATATCTAATGATTTCTCAGACTTGTATCCCGCCCCTTAGGCTATGGGTCTCTCTGGGAAGTTTACAGAATAAAACTAAATAAACAAGAAGCAAAACACAACCAGTAATAAAATCAGTTAAACCCAAATGCGACAACTTGGACAACTCCTGACGATTAAAACATGGCGTAAAACTGCTCACACAAAACACCTCTTTCAATGCCTCTTAAACCATCTGGTGAATGAAAAGGTCTCTACCTGGTGCTGCAAGGACTGCGCCAGGCGCCCTCGGGGAAAGCATGTGCCGGGGCCAGGGTGCAACCACGAAGAAGCCCCTTCCCCTCACTGGCACCCCCCCCCATTGCTTTGGAGTGGTTCTCAGAGAAGGACCTCAGTAGAAGATCTTGGAGGCTGAGTTGGGGAAAGGCGTTCCATAGGGCCCGTTTCAGATGAAACTATGCTTTGACTTCAACAAGCGCTGACCAAATATCCATATATTTGCCTGTTCATTGCTTATGCCCGAAGGCGACCCACTCAGAAACAGAATATAGTGTCATCTTCGCAGCCCATTGCGCTCCCTACCTTGGTGTTTGTTCTCGCGATGTCGTGATATCTGTCTCTTGGGTGATCTGGCCTTAAATGCAGGAGGTGGTTCGATGCGTGCAGGTCCGGCCACATGAAAGGGCTTTCCAGCACAAAAGCCGTCCAGATGATTCCCCCTCCTCAAAAGAGGCAGCCATTCAGCTTCACCAAAACATACGGACCAGAGAAGCTTTTTCTGTCAGGCACTTCCAACACTCAGCCTGCTGAGACGAGCTCTTCTTAAATAGGGGTTTGGTGATATGCCCCAAACACACGGTGTCTGCTAAAGGAGGCATCGCCTAAGACTTGCTAAGCCTTTTGAATAGATGCAGAATGCGCACCTGTTTGAAGTTACAGAGTAGTTATTAAAGATAAAATTACTGTTTCTACATGCTCATGAGACACCCTCCATGTGCCTGAAATGTGTACATT